TGGGGGCACATAGACCCCTGCTCCACGCACTGCTGTGGAAAGTGAGAAGACTGGACGGTTTCGTATTTCAGACTCAGGAGCAACTACCACTGAGAACAGGGCTGGACACGCCCGTCTTCATAAAGGCCCCTCAGCTGCGCGTTAAGATCGTACCATTGAGACCGAAAACAAACGGAGTCGTTTCCACCAACACATTTGATTTTGGAAAACGCCTTCATTTTAAGCACCACTGAGGGCACCCTTTGATGTAAAGGCTAACATCTCTTTCTGACAAAGAGAAACACAGGACCACAATCCCCCTGAACATGGCCCGCCCTCGGGGCACCCATGGGAGGCAGAGGCGGCGGTATACCAACCTGTCCTCCCATCCTCGCGCTCTCACGGCCTTGAAGGACTCGCTCAGGACCATCCGCATGAGCTTCGGCACAAAAGGAGACGCACGTTAGTGCAAGCACAGCCCGGACCTCACCGAACTCGCCACCCCCGCCCCCAACCCATGTTCTAGGAGCCGCCTGAGGACAGGGCCATGGCCACGGTCACCTCTGCCTGCCCAGAGCACACAGCAGGTCCTCGAGAGCTGGTGGCAGGGTCAATGCCCATGGGCATACACTGGAACCAAAACAGAACGGTTCCTATTCCAGAAGTGAGGACAGGAAAGGAAGTACAGCTCCTCCCACGGGAGGTAGAGCCCCCAGCAAAACCAGGTCTGAATGCCGCGCATCTTCTCCAAGCTCCTGGGGACCTCTCTCCCAGTGGGCACGGAACCCCACCTACTTCTCCACCCTGCAACTCGGTGAAGGCCCTCCCGCTAAGCCTCACAACAGAAGTAAAGCTCTGACGTCTGCCACCAACCCCCCAGCCCCCTTCACATGGCACAATGCCTTTCTTGTGGGCTGGGCGCGGTGGCTCACGCCTGTAATCCTAACACTCTGGGAGGCCAAGGAGGGAGGATCACTTGAACTCAGGAGTTTGAGACCAGCCTGAGCAAGAGCGAGACCCGTCTCTACTAAAAATAAAAAGAAATTAGCTGAGCAACTAAAAATAGAAAAAAAAAATTAGCCAGGCATAGTGGCACACGCTTGTAGTCCCAGCTACTCGGAAGGCTGGGGCAGGAGGATTGCCTGAGCCCAGGAGTTTGAGGTTGCTGTGAGCTAGGCTGGTGCCACGGCACTCTAGCCTGGGCAACAGAGCGAGACTCTGTCTCAAAAAAAGAAAAAAAAAAGCCATTTCTGTGGTTTTGCTGTCTTCAGGATATTAGCACACCGTGCCTGCAGAGGGCTCCAAGTCATGGTAGAGAGCAAACAGAGGACACACAGACCCCTGAGAGCCACTATCACAGAGCACGCCCTGGCAGCCAAGACGCCGTGTTGGGGACACGGGAGGCCTGTCTCTTGCTACTCCCTGCACAGTGCCAAGCTGCTCAGCCCTTGTGCAAGGCTGTGTGGCTGGAACTGAACACACAAGGGGGAACGTGGGAAACGGCCTTGAAAAGTGACAGAATCCGTCACATAAAAGGCCCCGGCGATTGCGTCTCAGCAGAATGGGAGGTGACGTGACAGAGGAGCTCCTGTGGCTCACAATCTGCACTCGGCACCAGCACAACGTGGCCCCCGTCCGGCCCCAAGCCCGCCTTCCCTCCCGCCCGCCATGCTCGCCTCGCCAGGTGGGCCTTTCGGGATCCCTCGCACACACTACCCACATAATCCTGCTCCAGCCCTGAGCGGGACGCTGAGCCAGAGTGGCAGACCATGACCTGTCCTCAGGGAGGCCCAGACGCTGCCCCATTCAGTGTCCCCATGGGTCACCGGCTCCTGGACAGTGACAATATCCATTTATCTCGGGACTGCTCTAAAGTCATAGTGACCAGCACCTGATAACGAGATCTCGAAGTTCAAAAGGAAGGAGGGTGGGGAAGGAGGCTGGAGCAGCAAGACGCTGTCTGTAAGACCCAGTTCTCCCCTTTACTCCTCAGGGTGAGTAAGAAAGCAGCGTAAAAAGGAGAAAAAGGAAGTTCCACACCATGACATAATCATCATCCCTGTCTAAGAAGAAAAAAGTCTTCGCGGGCTCAGTGCTCCGCAGCAGACCCAGCCCGGCCTCTGCTGTGCCCGCGGGCTGCTGCCTCTTAGCAAAGTCGCAACTGTAACCTCCCCCAGCCCCCAACAGCAAACTGTGTAGGTGTTTTCAGGAATCAAATTCTTTGCCCACTTGCTCACTCTCAGAGGCCGGGAACAAAGGCTGCGGAGTCCTAGGCATGCACCTCCGAAAGCCTTGGCTGCACCTCTGAGCCCACTGGAGGTACAGGGTCACACCGCCTCAGGGTCGCCTCTCTGCACAAAGCGTGGGGCCAGAGAGAGCTGAGGCCAGACACTGCCATTATGGGCCCATGGCCTATTTCTGCTCCGCTGGGTACCAAGACCTGCACCCGCCCCAGGCCCGCGGGAACCCACGGCTGCCTCACCAAGTAGAACTTGTCCAGGCGCAGCCTGTCTATGCCCGTCCACTCACGATTCACGGTTTGCCAGAACGTCCGAAGGAACAGGTGCTCTGGGGGAGGGAAAGGCCCGACATTAACGGCAGAAGAGAAGACCGAGGAATGCAGAAGCCACCGTGGGAGGGAGGTGGGAACATAAAGGGACCTGCTCAGGAAGTCACTTAATGCAACCTCTGGGATCTCTCAGCCCCAGGGTTTGCTGAGCTTAGAAGTGGTGCTATGTATTTGTCTTAAAAAACAGGGCTGTGAGGCACTTCAGAAAGAAAAGCAAAGCACAGAACTACAGCCACACTCTGCAAGACAGGGCAGAGAGGGAGCAAAGCCGCCAGAGAAGCAGCTGCTCAGGCATTTCCCTCCCAGCCGCCTCTGCCCTGGCCTGGGCTGAGACCACCTGACACCCACGTCTGACCTGTGGCAGCCTAACTGCACACGGCACACCAGCCACACCAGATCCACTAACCTAGTCAGACAATGGCCCTGCAGATGACCGGCATGTCCGACGCTGTGAGCTGAACTATGTCCCTCAAAATGCAAATGTTGATGTCATAACTTCTAGTTCCTCATAATGTGACTGTGATTTGGAGACAGGGCCTTTATAGAGGTAATTCAGGTGAAACGAGGTCATTAGGATGGGCCCTAATCCAATCTGACTGGTGTCCCTGCAAAAGGAGGAGACTAGGCCAGGGGCTGTGGCTCATGCCTGTAATCCTAGCAGGTTGGGAGGCCCAGGGGAGGTGGGAGGATCGCCTCAGGCCAAGAGTTTGAGACCACCCGGGGCTACACAGGAGCTGGGCCTGCTGGTGCGAGCCTGTAATCCCAACTACTTGGGAGGCTGAGGCAGGAGGATGGCTTGAGCCCAGGAGTTCAGGCCGCAGTGAGGTATGATGGGGTCACTGCACTCTAGCTGGGTGACAGAGTAAGACAATGTCTCTAAAAAAGAAAAAAGAAGAGGAGACTAGGACACAGGCACCCACATGCACAGAGAGAAGACCATGTGGAAAAGACAGCCACATATAAACCAAGGAGAGAGGCCTCAGAAGCAGCCAACAACCCTGACCCTGGGACACGAAGAGGGCAGCTCGTATGTCCAGTTAGAGTTTCCCCAACAGCACAGGTTGGCCAGATGGTTAAGGATGGGCCCGTGCTTACTAAATCACACAAGCATTACTGAGTGAACCTTTGCATTACACTTGGCATTGTGCTGAGCAAACTATTCTGCGAGTTCTTAGAAAGTAATTATGGAGGACAGATCTACTCAAATACGATTAAAAAGATTCTCCCAATTTGAGAAACTAGTCACAGTAACTAACCATGCACTCCCCCAGCTCTGACTGCTCTGCCCGCTCCGCACAGCCACAGTGAAGCCACCGTGAACACCAGCAGCAAGCTCCTGGCGCCTGCTCAGCACCAGCCGCTTGCAAGGAGGTCTCCAACGCTGATGTCAGGCCCCTCCCCCAGGGCTGGGTTCAACCAGACCAGCGTCTGGACATCCCACGGGCAGGCAGGGCGAGAACTACTCGTGATGGTCAGGATACGAAACAGAAGAGTCGGGAAAAGTAACTGCAGGAACTTCACAACTATCAACTGGCATTCAGTTAAATACCTTGGTAACATTATTTCAGCTTTTCATTTTTATTTAAAAATGTAAAATATAAGCCCATTGCACTCTTGAACTGAGTCTACTTCGGGTAAGTGAGTTAATACACGCTGAACACTCACAGCAGCGTTTCAGACACGATAAGCACCCAGGAGACGCTAGCTGGCTCTCTCTTGCTTAGGTATTACCTGCTCTAGATTTTAGAACATAAACCTTCTCTGTCTGGTGCCTCTGACGCTCAGATTCCGACGCGTGCAAACAGGCATAACTACGGCAGAGTATACTCACGTGCCTCTGTGGTCTGAAACGCATGGACGAGCTGGGAAATAGTCCTTCCTAGTTCTTCCTGTGCAGGCAACAATAAAAAGGCCCTCAGTGTCTGAAGCTCCGTGCTCTTACAATGACAAGACAAACACACAAGACTGTCTTGTCCACTCACTCACCACAGAGAACCAGCTCCAGTGGGTCTCGGCCCAGGGACTGGAGGTTTACAAGTTTGACCCCCGCCATGAAAGGCCACAAACGCAGTCACCGCCTCCTAAGGCTGTGCCCTGAGCAATGAGGCAACGCCTAAGAGGGTAGGAGGACAGCAGAAGGGAGCTTCTTACCAGCAGGAGGGGCCAACCAGATCCCCATAAATCACCCAATGCCTGCCTGCATCACTGTACCAAGCACCACCCAGAGCACTTGCTAACACAGAAGATTCCAGAGCCTCTCCTTGAGAGATGGTAGGTTAGTAGGCATGGAATATGGCCCAGGAATCCACACTTAAATAAGTACCCTCACCATCCAGGTGATTTTGAAGGAGAGCAAATAATTCACACTTTGAGAAACACTGTTCTAAAAGGCTGGCAGGGCCGGGCACGGTGGCTCACACCTGTAATCCCAGCACTCTGGGAGGCCAAGGTGGGAGGATTGTTTGAGTTCAGGAGTT